AACTGTAAATATGACTGAGCTCTGAATAGAATATGTGAAAGCTTTTCTGATCAGGAGATATCATCAAGAAAAATTGACATATTTACGTATTGTCACAAATACAAAAAAACAAAGATCTATAATTCTTAATATTATTTTAAAATATAATTCAGAAATTGGGGGTATGCATAAGCTGAAAATAGCCTCAGATAATATGAGAGCATATTATCGAAAAGTTACTAGAGAATATAGAATACCACTTTCTAGATAGGCATTATTAACTGATTATAAATACAATAGCAATGGAATGCCTTATAGTGCTCGCTTACCACTTTGTGAATATGCATTTTATATATCTATTAATAATTACCACTCTATAGAAAATCTCTCAATTTTATACAAAAATTATCCTTTACAACTTCTTACTTGTGATCAAGCATTAGTCCTTACCTGGGATATAGAAACACATTCAACGCTTGAATTAGACCATTTCCCTATGGCAAAATATAAAGAGGATAATATATTTATGATTTGTATGACTGTTCAATAGAAAAATGATCCTATTCCATTAAAACAAATCTGCCTTGTTAATATGGAAATGGTACCAGACCCAAATTGGATCATGATTATTTGTGAAAATGAAAGAAATCTATTAAAGGCATTTGCTCTATGCTGGCAGACTTTAGTCCTTGATATCGAACTCACTTTTAATGGATCCAAGTATGACTGGTCATTTGTAGTGGAAAGAGTTACCCAACTAAAAATTCTAGATTGGATGATGGCAAAGATATCAATAAACCCATAAAAAAAGACTATAATCGATTCTATTCTTTGATGGAGTTATTGTGGGAAGGTAGATGAACCTTTCTATAAAGATTTCTTTCATAAAGAGCAAACATAGAGATCTTCTGAAAAAGAAAACAAGGATTACAAAAAGAAAAAGAATCGGGAAGGGATCAAAATTAAAATTATCCCAGATAAAAATTTTATATCTACTTTTCTCAAGATTTCCAGTTGCATTCCAATAGATGTGAAAGTATGTTGTGAAAAACTTTATCCAAAATCTGAGAAAAAATCATTCAACTATTTCTTAGGGATACATAGTCTTGGTAGTAAAATAGATTTACCAATAAAAGTTATGAGAGAATATTATACATGAAGCAAGGAGAATACCTTACTCGAGACCACTGAAAATATACATAAAATTGCTAAATATTGTATTAAAGATGTTTTAAGTTGTCAAGAACTTATGATTAAGAGAAATGTAATAAATAATTACAGAGAGGTGGCCTTAATTGCATATGTTTCTTTATTTAATTCGCACTACTATGCTGGAAGTATGAAGATATGTAATCTATTAGGCGCTAAAGTATGGAAAAGAGATATATTAATTACTTTGATTTCTCTTAAGCAAAAAGAAAAAGGCACGTTCCCTAGAGCCTATGTATTTCCACCAGATAAGGTTCTTGAAAATGAATGGCCTGTCATGGATTTGGATTTCACATCTTTATACCTAAGTATTATAATGAACTATAACCTCTCACCTGAGAAAATAACTCTATCACCCAAAGAAGCAGATAATTTAAAAGAAGTGGGTGAGACCCTCTATAAAATTGAGTTCTCTTTCAATGACCAAATTTTACATGCATGGTCTGTAAGACATGAAAATAAAAATAATAAAATGGGGTTATATCCATCAGTTTTAAAAGAGCTTCTTAATAAATGAAATAAAATGAAGGCTCAATTGGGAATACTTAGTAATATAAAAGAGTATTGGAATTAGTAAATAGTAAAATAAAAGAGGAGAATTTGTCAGTAACTGATGCTATTGATTATACTCTGAAAAATGCAGAAGATAAAGAAAAATATGCCAATATGAATGAAATCTTGATTTCTTTTATTAATGAAACTTATGAGAATTTCAAAACAGAATATGATTCCATCTGTTTTGATTACACTTGCTTGGATTTGAAACAAAAAGCAGTAAAAATTTATATAAATATCTTTTATGAAGAAGCAGGAAACAGTTTATCCCTATTCTTCTTCTTAGAATTAGCTGGTGGTGTTACATCAGCAGGACAATATAATATTAAACTTGTTGCTAAGTATGTGATTAAGAAGAAAGGTTTTGGAATCAAATATGGGGATACTGATTCTTTATATCTCATCTGTCCTGTTAAATATTATAAAGAATGTGATCTTGCTTATAATGATGATAAAGGTACAATTTCGAAATTGGGATATTAGACTGAAATAGTTAAAATAATTATGAAAGTAATAGAGAAATTGCTTAATAAAGTGAATACGTATCTTAAAATAAAAAGTAGATCAACTTATCTCAAAATGACTTATAAAGAAGTTCTATTTCCAGTAGTATTTACAGGTAAAAAAAAATATTTTGGAATTGAGCATAAAGATAAGCCAAATTTTGGACTAACAAAAAAACTTTTTATTAGAGGTATCGATATAGTGAAGTAAGGTAAGTCCCAACTTTTTAAAACTATAAGAAATTGAATTATGTGGGGTGCAATAGATATTAACAATAATCAAACACTCCATGAGATTGTTGAAGAGGTTCTTAAAGAGGCTATAACCAATCCTAATCAATAGGATTTTGATCAATTTATAGAAACTGATATATAGAAACCTAATATAGATAACAAACATATCTAGTGATTTATAGGATGGATGAAAGAAAAATATAAAAACAAGATTCTTGATTCAGGAGAACACTTTAGTTATGTAATAGTTTATCCTGATAAAGTTTTTGATTTATCTGGTTTTAAATTCACTATAAGAAAGGCTGATCAAATAGAATTCATGGATATTGCAAAAGAATTAAATAGAAAATTGGATCTATCCCATTACTTTGAAAATACTATTAATGAACTTTGTACCCAATTTATTATGTATGATAAAAAATATGAATCACCATCTACTGACAAAATCATGAAGATTACTGATTCAGATGATAAATATAAACAGATTAATACATATGCTTAAAATAAGACTAAGAAGTGGCTCGAGTCATATATCAAGGAGATAAATGTGATAGATAGAATCACTCCTAAAATAATATCTAATCATGAATATGCTTACAAATGCGCTTACAAGAATGCAATTAAAACCGCATAATCTATATTATATCAGAAGATAGATAATATCTATGAGATATTTCATGCGGAATGGCTTAGTTTTGAGGATTTTAAGGTAACTAATAATATCGAGAGATTATAGAAAAAGTTCATAGAGTATGCCAGAGCATATACTGAAAATGATAATCTCTTGATAAGTGAAGGGATAAAAAAATCAATATGCTCTGATTTTATAAAACATCTAAATATACTTATCCCAATTATCGAGAAATATGATGTTTTCTTTCATAAGTTAGTATATCATATGTGATATAAAGAGCATATAATAATTCCAGATAAAATTGGCCAATCCGAGACTATAAGAAAAAATGAGATGATTACTGAACAACCTACCTTATCTCATATATCAAAAATAGATCAACTAGTACTTAAGAGTTTTCTAAATACATGGAACAAGGTAGTCAGCTCACTATAAATATATTTTTATATTATCATTATATATATTTTTTCATACATAAATAATATCAAAGTTTAAATAGATAGTTCCTAATACCTAGCTCATGTATCTAATAACTGATCACGTCTTTTATTACTTCACAATAGCTCTTCAAGCCTATCTATATCCCATGTACATTTCAATACCACGAACCACATAACCGTAATAATTAACAGGGTAAGAAAAATATATGTTGATAACGGTGATATCAAAGTACTCACCATAATAGGGATTGCCCCTATTCCTCCTATTAGAATTTGAGAATATGATTCAATCAAAGAGAGGATATTATTTTCTGGCTATGCAAAGTAAGGAGTCACATTTGGCATTTCTTGAAGTATATTATTATTATTACCGTATAATAGATCCTTGATCCTAGTTTTGCTAATATTGATTTCATCACTTACCTTAGGAATAATCCTGGTATTATCTTTTGATAGTTTGATAATCTTATCATTAGTGAAGTAAGTACCAAAGATGCTAGTATCTGTCAAGATATCATTATCGATTTTTTTAGTTTGATCCATACTTTTTCTGCGTACAAAATACTTACTTAGATTTTTGCTAGATGAGATATAGCCTTGAATTACTAATTTCTCATTAGACATATAAGTGTCATGATTCAAAGAAGAAACAGAGTCTCAAGGAAGCTGAGCTTCAAGTCTTTGACTCATCTCCAATTCATCATCTAATGGCCTGCTTTGCAATACTACAGATATCTCATTAGGTTTGGTTATGGAACTTTGTTCTTCGCACAGCATATTTTTTTCGTCATCTCCACCGATTATAGATTCTGATATATTCTCAGGTTTCAGATGCTCCAATTTACTAATTTTTAAAGCTAATTCAACTATCTTAGACTTGAGAGAGTCGATTTTGGACCCTTTCTTTAATGAGTCCTTCTGAGATAAATCTAACTTACCTTTCAATAATTTCATCCCATTCCGAAGTAATTTAATCTCCCCTAATTTTGTAGCATGCTTAGCCTTGGATTTCACAAGAGATATATCTTTGTAAGCATTTTCAATCTGTAGATGTCTGTTCTCTTTAATAAGTTTCAGATCATGAGTATGTAATTTCTGGATCTTAGTATTAGCCTCTCCTAGTTTTTTACTCCACTTCTTTCTATCCCGATCTCATCTCTTTCTTTCTTGATCAAATTCTCTTCTTACTTTATGTATTTATCCTGTAACTCACTATTATAGTTACATAATTTAGAAGAAGATTAGAGGATTTGATGTATTTTATTCTCAAGATCTTTCACATAGATCATATCAAATAATAATATAGAAAAAAAAACTAATTAAATACTGAATAACTTATATTAATAATATCTATAAATCACAAACTTTCGATATCAAAAACTATATTAATATCTTGTATATAATAAAACTATAGTGCTTAATGAGATTGAGAAATCATTTAATATAATGTCTTCACATTCTCAGATTAAATCTCACAATATCCACCTTTCTACTGAAATACAAAAAATAATAAGTTTTTATTAAACTGCTTGTGGTCATACTAATCGAATGTCGACTAAGAATATTAATCAAATACTAATAAAAATGAATAAATTGAATATTTACTGAAATAGAATTAAATATTAACTGATATATCTAAATTGAATATTTATTGAAATAGAATTAAATATTAATTGATATATCTAAATTGAATATTTACTGAAATAGAATTAGATATTAATCGAATGATCTAGATATATCAAAACAAAATTGGATATTTACCAAACAGTCTAGATATGTATTGAAACAAGATTAAAAAATTTTCGAATTTATATCTAAATATTTTTTTTTTATTTTTTATAAATAGATCATAACTCAAAACTCTGAAAAAATAATTTGATATCTGCAATCTGATGCAACTCCTTTATCAGATGATAATATACAAGATATCATTAATATCAGAAATTTAATGAAACATGTATCAGAAGCTATGGCTATCAAATATAAAATATCAATAAGGCGTATATATCAAATATAGAGGGAAAACCATTCTCCAATAGATCCTAGGGAAGTGATATCACAATCAAATATTGGTGGAGACAATACTCAATCTATCAATCACATTACACATTTTGTAGAAACTCCTATTGTTACTTCTGATATACAGATAAAGAGAAAAAAACTGAGATCTAAGACTAATCAAATTTCTGACTCATCTAATATTATCGCCAGAGAGAGTCACACAGTGGATAGTAAAGTTAATACTACTAAAATTATAATAAAAAAAGATGACTTATATACTTTAATTAAACAAGATCATAAAGAAACAGAAGAATATGAACGTGAATCAGAAAGAATTTTAGCCACGAAGTGACTGCTTTCAGCAAATTCCAACTAATCAATCTTTGCTTTTTCTAGAGTATTTTATATCTCATATAGTATATCACTATTGGTAACTTTCTCAGACTTATTTATATGAAGTTGCAATTTTTTATTGAGCTCAATTAATTTAACTTTGGATGCAATTACCTCATATAGTGATTTTTCTAACTCCTTATAACTCATGCATTTTTTTTAGTACTAAAGGTACTTGCTTTGCTAATGACAGATCATTAAAATCTGAACTAAAGTCCGCAGGAGCATGCCATTTTTCTAATATTATATTGTCATCCTTATCACTATCCGTTTCTTGAGAAATTTGATTAGATATCAATAACTTATTATTCTGAGATGCAGTAGCATAATTTACTTCAAGCTTATTCTTGACTTTATGCATAGTTACTGGAATAATGTGATCCTCCCTATTGAAAGGAATTTTCAATTCATCTTTCCCCCAATCTATAGCATATTTATATTTCTTGAGAAGTGGATTTGGAAATATCAATATTGATTTAGGGACATGTACAACTACAAAATCTTCACGTATAGTAAAACCTGGAGGAAATATTATTGGAAAATTATGAGTAATACCAATAGATTCTGTTAGAACTATAGCAATTTCACTAAGATCATATTTTTCTGATTTATCAATTGACCAATTTACACGTTTAACAATATCTTCTGATGTAATTAGAGGTTCAGCTCTACTATCAAGACACATTGCTGGAATTTTTAAGTGCTTAATTTTAACTGGTATAGTTGCAAGGCTTGTGGTAGGTTCCTTTCTTCAAACAAAATCTATCTCTATAGGATCATTTAATATTTCCTCTTCTCTATCTGAATTAGGTATTTCTGGAACTGGCTCTCAATAATTTATAAAGTCAGGTTTTGCAGATTCTTTAGGGGTGACTCTTCGAGTCATAGACAAATTTGTATTATTAATATTGTTTTTAATTGTTTCTATAACCTCTGGATCGTTAAATATAGCTAGAATAATTTTTTGAATTTGTGAATTGATAATCATACCCAATTTCTTTTGCATTTTTTGTGAAGAATATTTCTTTGAACTAGACTTTTTAGGTAAGGATTTATCTAATTTACTCTCTCACTTTACTTTTTTTTTGATTTAATAGCATTGATAATTTTCACGATTTCAGTCTTAGTTAAGTCATTCACAGAATCAGATTCTGATTCAGAACCAGACTCAGAGTTAGAAACAGAATTGAAATCATTGTCAAAAGAGCTAGTGCTAGACTCAGAATCTGAATCTTTAGTAGCTATATTAATCTTATCTTTTTTCCTGGATCTGCTTTTGTTAGAATGTCTAGACTTGCTCTTCTTTTTATTTTTAGGGCAGTTGTGAGAATTATGACCTGTTTTATCACACTTTGAATATTTGTATTGAGAAGATTTTAAAACAATATGTATTACTTAAGCTAATTTTGCTTGATTTATATCCAACTGTTCAAGCTGTAATCTCAAATCTTCAACTGGATCATAGTTATAGTCCTCAGGTAATAGTGGACCTCTGTCATCAGAAATATTATCTAAAAAATGATCCATAGCAAGATCATTGGCTTTTCATTTTCCTGGTCTGGGAGGTTTCTTCAAAGTTTGTTGTCCTTTAGCAATAGTTCCCTTCAAACCCACTATAATTTTTTTGAAATCATTTTGTAAAAGCATGATCTGATTCTCCTGAGGCTTAGAAGAGATAGTTTGTGAGATGGGTTGAGATTGTTCAGATAACATCATAGATTTTACCAAGTCTCTGACTTCAGTTTTAGTCATACCTATATTGCTTGTTATGTAAGAATCTTTTGTGTTATCTTTAGATTGTAATCAAGAAATAATAGGATGAGATTCTGGATTATACTGATCTAACATCATTTCTGCCTTCTGTCTTTCAATTTCTTCTAATTTTGATAGTAAAATGGAAATTGGATATTCAAGACCAATACGTCTTACTTCTATTTTGTTATCAAAAGAAAGATCCTGAAAGAATTGCTATTTAACCATTTCTTCTCGATTCAATGCAGGAAGTGCTGGATAGGCAAGACTAATCATTCTTTTCAATTTTGCATAAAAATGACCTATAGGATCAGTACCTTGAGTAATGTTATAAAATACCACTTTTGATTTTTCAGCAGTTATTGTTGGATAATTAGTTCTGAATCAGTATATTATCTGTCCAATATGAATTCCTGGAGTTATAATATTTCCTCCTGCATTAACATTAGAAGCATTAGGTGCTAATTCTGTTGGTCAACTACCAGATATTAACCAGTCTTCATTAAAAACAGTATGTGTTGGTACTAATAGTATAGCAATTAGATTATTGTCAGCTAGAACTGTATTTCTTATTTGAAGAGTTCCATCTCTAAACTGGTTAGCATTGATATTGCACAATGCATTATTATTAGCTAATTCATTAATAGCACCAAGATCTGCAAGGCCTGTATTATCACTAATATGTTGCAATTCCCAATTTTTATTCTTGAGATGAGTTTCATAAAAATCTTTTGTATCTTCTCTTAAACAAGTCTCAAAAAGTTCATGAATTCTTACTCTGATTCGAGCATTTGCTAGTGGATCAAGTCCGGATGCTTCACAATATTGTATAAAATCTCTAATCCATTCTTCAGGATCTTCTCTGACTTTTCTGTAAAATAGGGGTGGTGCATATTCTGCCATTTCTTTATATTGATTATTTATAGGTAAATTATTCTGAAGCACAAATATTTGTTGATTTAAATTCAAAATTAATTGCTGAAAATTGCGCTCCCTATTTTTCCACTTGATATGACTTGCCTTTTGATCCTTGAATTTATTGTAATATCTATCAAAGATTCAATCTTGATTATATTCTAATAATCCTTTATCAGCCCGGTATTGTTATAGCTCTTGTTTTAAGCGATGAATAGATATCTTATAAATAATTTCAAGAGAACGTCTAAGTTTAGACTGTTCTTCTAATGCTAAGGTAATATTATGCCACAAACACTCTCGCAAATTATATCTTTGTTATAATTCTCTTTCATATCTTTGGCACCTCCGTAGTTTAAAATTGAGTGTAAATTTTTCAAGTAATAAAGTATTAATTCATATCTGCATTCCTCTTTTAAATTGCTGAGTGATCCACCTCTATCTATGACATTCTGTCCACTCATTATTATAAGCTATAGTTATCAAAGCAAGATTATTTTGAAAATTGTTATGCTCTAGTGTAAGTTAGTTAACATGATTTTGCAAGGTATCTTGTACTTGAATAAGTTAATTGGTTTAGTTCTGAAGGTTAGCGTTTTGTTATCTATAGTAATTGACATCCTGCTGTAGCTGGACTATCTAATTATTGCTATCATCTCTTTGAGCAATAACGCCATCTATATTCTGATATGCAGACTGATAATTATGCCAAACAGTATTTAAGGAACCTCTAATACCATTTATAATATTTATAGGATTATTTAACGATATTCTATCATCTCTAAGATAATTTTCAATACAAGTCAAGCCTAGTTCGATTTGTATAAAAAGATCAAGATTCTCTATATCTATATCTTCCTCTTCTGAATTATATAAACTTGGAGAGCTTTTTCAAAAAGAAATAACTTTGAATCTATGTCTTAGATTTTGAACTTGCTCTTCTGATTCTTGTAATTGCTTCTCTATATTATCAATATAGGATACCTTATCTCGGATTTCCTTTTTAGCTTGATATAAGCTTCTTTTAAGAAATGATATCTCCAATCTTAACTTGGCCTTTTCTTTTTCTAAAGCATTCTCGAGCCATTCCAGTTCTTTATTGAGAAATTGAATTTCATTCTCACATCTGGTATATTTGCGCTCTAGCTCATTTATGTATTTCTCATTCAATTTGTTGATGGCTACCTCTGATTGTAATATCTCCTGTAGTTCTTGGTTAATTTGCTCTAGCTTGAGTTTTTTATCCATAGCTAATCTATGAGTTGTTCGATTAGGAGGTTGGGGTCTATAAAATGCCATAGTTATTATGAAGTAATGAGACTCTGTCTCTATTTTTTATGGCATATTATATTATCTTATCTCTTGACTTTGCTATAATAAGTAATATCAAAAATGAGTAGGTTCTTAGATCATGCTTTACATAGATTGAGCAAGCCTATTATTAGAATTGATCCAGACGAGGAGTTAAACTTAATTTGTAAATTACTTTTTTACTAACCTACTGGCTACCATGCCAATTCTAGAAAATTATATAAAGACCTCAAGAAGGAAGGGTACCAATTTCCATTCAAAAAAGTGCATAACTGACTTATAAATCAGAATGAATAGCAAAAGTATGCTCCATCACCAAAAGATACTCCACGGGTTAATTATGGTAAAATTCAAAAACCAAATTGTGTACATCAATGTGATCTCTTATTTCTTATGCATGATTACTATAAAGGTAAAAAATGGAAAGCAGTATTACAAATTATAGATGTGGGTAGCAGGTTCAAGGCAAGTATTTCTCTAATATCAAAGAATAGTTCTGAAGTTGCTAAAGCATTTAAGAAAATTTATAATAATTCTAATAACCCTCTTATGTATCCGATACTTTTACAATATGATGGTGGTAAAGAATTCATGAGTGAAACTGCTCAATTAATAGAAGCGCATAATGTCACAATTCAAGTAATTAGTACTTATAGTCATCGTGGATTAGCTCTTATAGAATGATTCAATAAGACATTAGCAGAGATACTTTATAAAATCCAATATGCCGTTGAATCAATATCTAAAAATCCTAAATTAATAAGAGAGTGGGTCAAGTATTTGTCAGAAGTAATAGATTATCTTAATAATTATCTGACACATCTCATTCGAGCTCCAGGTTCTACAAAGTGGGGTTTAGCTTCAAAGCTAGCCATTCAGTTAGAATGAGTAGAGTTTAGACTATCTACAAAATATAAGCATTCTGTTGGGAAAAATGAGGAAAATAGATTGAAGAAAGGTGATACAGTTTACTATTTATTAGCCAATGCAGAATGGGAAGAAGGTATGGAGAATCAGAAAAGAGTCACAGATCTGACATTCTTGTCAAGTCTTCATAAAATCTGCAAAATCATGATAATAAAAAATGAATCAATTTTGTATTATCTTGGAGATAATAATGATAAATACCCTCTAAAGTGTGGATTTGTGAGAGAAGAGCTTATGCGTGTAAATATTGATACGCTTCAGTATCCATCTCAGAGTATATTGGAAGGAAATACTCATTCCAGATCTGTTAATTTTGTTCGTATTATTAATAAAATGGCTAAAGCACAACAATATACCAGGAAGTGTGGTGGGCATTATATTATGAAAACTGGTCAAATAAATGATTTTGATGTATATCTCTGGTCTTGTGAAAATGGAAATCATCAGTGGGAAGCACCTTATAAGATCCAGAAGGATAAATTCGAATGGTGTCCAATTTGCTTCTATCATAGCGATGAGCAGAGATGTAAATATATTTTTGAGGATCTGTTGGGTAAGAAATTTCTATCTTGTAAATCATCATTTTTGAATGAGATGCAATTAGATGGGTATAATAAAGAGCTAAAATTAGCATTCGAATTCCAGGGGTTTCAGTATTTTTTTAAGAATCCAATATTTTATAAGTGAGACAAGATAGACTTAGATAGTCAATAGACACGTGACCAAAAAAAGCGAGATATATGTAAAAGAGAGGGTATAGATATTATTTGTATCCTATTTGTTTGTGATTTATTTCCCTATATTAAATATGTATTAATCAAAAAAGATTATTTAACAAATATAGAATAAATCTGCAAATATAAATACCAATGTCATATACTGATGAAGATAATCACTTTGTTACTAAAATTTATCCGTTAAACTTATCTGAGATATTAACTGAAATTTTCTTGAATTTAACTGAAGATAGATCATTATATTTGATCTTATTCATTAATAAATTTTGATATTCATGTGCAGGACTGATTATCTGATATTATGCAGAGTTTGATAAAAGAAATCTAGTACAATTTGAAAAATTCAAGAAAGTGATGCGTGGAAATTAAAAACCTTCTTACTGTTCTAAGCTATTGTGACTTGTTCTTCATGAATGTAAAATTTCAGATAGAACTTTATTCAAGATTGCTTGCAAAACTCCCAGATTACAATATCTCGTTCTTGATAGCTGTGAGAGTTTTTCTTATGATTCGACTGCCAATTCTTTAAAACTATGGCCTAATATGAGGCATCTCAAATTTAATTTCAACTTCATTAAAAAAGGATTCAAAGGTACATATATTTATATCGATGATAGAATACTTTGTGGAATTGCAAATCGAAATCTGGAATTTCTAAGTCTTGGTTCTTCTGATATCTCTGATAAATCTTTAAATAAAATCACTGATTCATGTCCAAACTTAAACTATCTCAGTCTGGGACATAATAAAAATATCACTGACATATCTATGATTGATATTACATATTCCTCTCCCAAACTACGTTATCTTAGTTTGTGATATTGTAGTATTACAGACGAGATATTAAAAGCAGTGGCGTATTTTTGTCCTGGACTCCAATATTTGAGACTGATATCTTGTAGAGATATTTCTAATGTGGGGGTTTGTGCGATCGCTACTTTGTGCCAAAATATTATAGATTTTTCTTTTGAGAGTTGTGGGATAAGTGACATATCAGTTAAAAAAATTGCACAATCATGTCCAAGAATCTGAAGTCTCAATCTGAATTGGTGTTATATAACTGACGAGTCTATCTGTGAAATAGCAAGATCATGTTCAAGACTAGAAGTACTACTTCTTCTAAATTACTTTATTATTGATATATTAATTGATGAAATTATTTGATCATATAAGAATCTGCGTAGTCTTGATCTTAAAAAATGTTACTTTGTTACTGATAAGACAATCGATACCCTTATAACTAGCAATCCAAGCATTGATATTAGAGATTCTTAAGTAATTTACTATGACATATTTATTAGACTGGCTATTACATAGAATAAAAAATTGGGTGGATATATATAATAATAAGGATCAATATTTTTTAATATAATAATTAGTATTATTGGAATAAAAATAGAAAAACTTGATCTAGTTGAGAAGATTGTTTTGAATATTGATGAATACAAAAATATAGAAAGATTTAACAGCCTTAATTTAATACCTTAATGGCCTTTTAATTTATTAGTCAGTGGGTGAACCAGATCAGGAAAAACTAATGAAGTTATTAACCTTTTACTTAGAAATAAAATATATTGATTGTTTAGTGGGAAAAAAGATGGAATGAGATATATTAAGAATAATGATTTGATTTTGATTGGTCATCAAATTAATAAGCCCAAGTATAAATATTTCCAAGATTGCTATAAAATAATTGCAAATAGCCCCAAACCATATCATGAAGATATTATATTCCGAGTAATGAAACCTGATAAAATGCTAAAAGTTGATGATTTCTCCCCTAAAAGAGGGACAGTAGCTATATTCAAAGATGTATGTACAGAACCTAAAAAAATACAAGATAAAATAGCATGTTATTTTACTGAGAGAAAGCATAAAAATATCAGTTTAATATATGTAACACAAAGCTTTTTTGACTGTCCTAAACTAATAAGAAAAAATCTCGATTATATTGTTCTCTTTAATGGCAGTGGGATATATGATAAACTTGTTAACATTACCTGACGATATACAAAAAAATAGTATGATATTATTAATATACTTGATAAAAATTTGCAAGGTAGGGAATTTATTGTTATTGACTTGACTAGAGCAAAAGAGAATCCACTCTATATTCGCAAAGGATGGGATCAACCTCTTAATCTTTCTAATGAATAGAATACGATTTCAGATATTTTAGGAATTTTTCTATCTCTTGCAATTCTATCTTCTTTTCTTCAACCTCACATTATAATTTCCTATTGGTTTTAATCTGATCCTTGTACTCTATAATAATTTCTCGCATAAATTTGTCAAAGGTTTTTTCATTATATTCCAGTAATTGCTGACATAAAATATCAACCTCTTTCTTAATCTGGCAATTAATCTCATCCTCACATGTGAAGCAAGGATATCTATATGTCTGATCGCATTTACAGCTATTAGTATCTTGAGTTTGGGATTCTTGGTTAACCATGTTTATATATGTCTTAACACTAGCTTTGTTATTATACGATAAATTTTCAAGTGAATCTATAATTTAGATTTGTTTTTTATGCTTCCTATTTAATTCTTTTTCATATATCTCTAATGTATGGTGCAAATAATTTTCAATTTAATTGCACTTTTCAGAAATTTGCTCTAAGGTAACAGGTAATCTAGAGTGATGTAAAAGCCTGTGATATGCTCTCTTGACCAGACTTTTTGGAAGTTTTGCTATAATGGAATTGTAATCAGGATGAAATATTGAATATTAGTTTGCATGCAAAAAGTTTGCAGATAAAAAATTATGAAATATATATGAATAAGTTATATAATTATTAAATCAAACAAATCAAATAAATAAATGTGTATAGTAGAGCTAGTGTCTCTGACACATAATAATTAATATATCTATGCTTCTATTTCTGAAAGTCACTTTTGGAATCTAGACTGCAATTGACTCTTTTTAGAATCTATCCAATTATATGGAATATAATATTCTTCATATTTTCTAACATAAATATCCAAAGGAATATTTAAACTACATTATTTATACATTATAATCTATTTAGTATGCTATTGATCAAATTGTTCTCAAGTTTGAGAATTTTTTATTTTATATCGAGTTAAACCTAGAAATTTTTTATCATCAGAAGTACCATCATTTCTCATTGCATTCTAAGCTTGGGTTGCTAATAATTTGGGTCTATTCTTGTAATTTCTCCAAGCTCTTTATATAATCCTTGCTTTTCTGAAATCAGTCTTTGATTTATTATATTTATTATCCCAATATTTCTGCATCAAATCATCTGGCTTAATAATTTTGATATATCTTTTTCTAGTGAAATAAAATAATTTCTTTTGTTATACGTCATTAATTTTTATGAGTTTCCAGCAATCAAAGTAAATAGCCATATGACTTTTATAAATCTTTGATTTGTAGTAATTGAAATTGACAAATTTACCTTTATCAAATAACATAAATAAACAATATTGATGATATACACTAAATTTTCCAGCAGTTAACAAATCTTGTAATGGAATTTTTACTTGTATTACCCATTGAACTGGTATTTCATTCTGTTTTATGATAGATAATGTATCAAATAATCTCTCATTATCGAAAATTTGATTGAGTTTATTAGCATAAGTTCCACCATAGTGTGATATATATGATATAGCATACTTCATATCAAAACCAGAATGATTAATATATGGTTTAGGAAGTATTTTATCTTTTTTATCAATAATAGTAGTGATATCAAAACCAGATATATTTATCAATTATATCATATTTAGGATATTTGCTGAAAGCAGTCACTTCGTGGCTAGACCTATTTGATTAATAACTATATACTCTAGAATATATGATTCAAATTTTGTGTGATGCTCAAAGAATGCCTCATAGGACCTGGATTCTTGAATTATCTCTTCAAGAGTGTTATAATTATCATATTTTGTGAGTGATGTATATTATAAGAATAGGAAAGATGTGTAAATCTATTTTTGATATGTCGCATAATCTATTTCGGTAAATTATAAGCATATTGATTTTCCAGCGATAAGAATATACAACACTTACTATTTGAGATCACCTGGTTCCAAGATAGATAAATCTGAGATATACAAATCTGAGGCATATATATTCGGTTAATTATACTACTTTTACGTGAAAAAAATAAATGAACATCCATAGATTTATACTATTAAAATATGATTGAAATAATATTGAAGTGTGGTTAGAAAAGTAATAAATTATACAATAGCGGAGCTAGTACCAAGCATATATATCTTAATATAATCATGGATGTATGGTTAAAGTATGGTTAAAGTACTGTCAAAGTACTGTTAAAATACATAAGATACACTTATAAAAGCAACAAAATCCCACCTTTTTGCAGTCTATTTATTATATTTATTATTGGGATAAATATTATAAAAATGGTTAAATAGACCAATGCTCAAATACGTATTCTCATTGATGAGCATAGAAATAGAAATGAAGAATATCATAATTTTGAAAGGAATCGAATTAGATTTTGGGATAGCATCACAATCAAAATTAATCAAGAACATAATACAAGCTTTAATGGATACCAATGTAAAAAAAAGTTTATGAATCTTGTTCAGAATTACAATGTAAGTATAATATATTAAGGCTCGAAGATTTTTTGCTTACATCTTAGCTATTATGACTAATAATTTATGTCAATTAGTTGATGTACGATTATATGACAGGGAATCAAAGAGCATGAAGAAGTCGAACAGATGTGTAATATTTTGATAAATTCCATACACATTTTTGGGAGAGACCTGAAGATGATTTTGATAAAATTCATAACATTAATAGTTCTAATCATAGATAACATAGAATTGGAGGGAATAATATATCTGTACCATCTATTGGAGAAGTTGAACATGAATTAGGCCAAATATTGCCAGGTAATCAAAGAAGCTGAAGAACTTTCATTGATAGTTAAAGAAGTTGAAGAAGTCATAGACGGTCAGCATCTCCATCTCTATTCCGTGATATAATAAATACTAATACAAACAATCCTGGTGTGGAAAATCCTGAACAAAATATTGATCATGCTGGCTCTATCAAAACATCATCTCTTCAACTAGCACCACCACCTTATGAGGCCACAGATGAAGTATGAAATAATTCTTCAAAAATGAATTAGAGCCAAGTTGTTTCTAACCATGAAGTAGTTATCTCTGATATTATATCCTTGTCTCAAAACAATAGTGATATTAGTATGTATGATGTGGAAGATAGTTAAATATTTCCTAATATAGAATCAATAAATGAATAGATTGGATAAATATTTTTTTATTTAATAAAAATAGTATAATTATCGCTATATACATATATGTGGGTAATATCACGTGACTTTATTGCTGAATTTTTATCAAGAAAATAAAAATTTATGGAACATATTTTTTTGGAAAAATGCTGATATATCTAGATAAATTGATTGCATAATACAGATGTGTGCCATTACTTTGTAATACATATCACATGAATATCAAAAAAGAAAATCAAAGATCATAGAACTTCTGCATGCATAATATAATCATGTGACCTTCTAACTAATACAAAAAATCAGATTTGAATATTTTCTTTGTAAAGAACGCTTTCAGAAAGAAAAAATACAGATTCTTTTAAAAGGAGAGTATAGTTTTGTCTTTGTTTATAATTGTTTTTATCCTAATTTCATATTTGCTAAACTTTATACAGAAATAGAACAGGATTATAAATACCTCGGTTAAAAAGATTTCAGTATTGAGTATTTGGAGAATAATTGTGACAAAGTCAGAAAAGTATGCTTCACTTCATGATTTGGTTATATAATTAACGCAAATAGCGGGTGATATGATTCTATGAGCAATATGTTTCAAATATATAAGCTGACTTGCGAGAAAGCTTTACGTCATTCTGCCAAATCTAGTAGCATTCTACGAGATGCTTATGAAGGATTTTCCAAGATTTCCAATATATGTATTGTTTTTTATCCCATCTATAGTATTTTCATATGATGACATTCCATCTATTTTGAGAATCAATTTCACACCATCTCCTCACACCTGAGATTTGGGCCCTGATGATCATTTGTGATGTATGAAGAAATCAGAGATCTGATTAAATAAGAGCATTAAATAATAAGCAGAATATAGAATTTTCATATATTGACTCCTTTATTTTTATAGAACAAGCAAAGAACATAATATATATCAATAGTAGAGACTATAAAATTAATGGTTGACTGAACTACTATAATTTTACTTTAGAAAAACTTATTACTGACACTAATATATTTTATACGTTTCAGATTTCTCTTAAATTCATAAGCCTAACAGAGAAGAATCTTGTCTTTTCAAACAAGAAAAAAATTGGAAAATGATTGGTAATACATTCGTATTATGGGAGTTATATTTTTTTTTTGCTTGTTCTTACTTGATACTTCTGTAGAATGATTTAATCTGAAATGAGATATCTCATTCGTTGCTATTATATGAGTTAAGGGATCTCTTTGAATCCTTTGATGCTAGCAATATTAAATGGAATGATCCACTCAGCTTTGGTTATATTATTGATCAAAACTCAGACATAATTTTTGGAAAGTTGCCAGAAGAATAAAAGAAGAATTTGAGAGAAATTATAAATTTAGCATATAATCAATATGAAATAAGTCCCGTTATTTCTGACTTGGTTAAAGTCCTTTTAGAAAAATCAAAGAGCTTGAATAAAAGGGAAATGATGGTTTCACTCTCACCTATACCAGCGGATTTCCAAGAAAATGATGAGGAATTTGAAGATATATGTGTGATGTATAGGATCATAGATTCAGTGTAGGTAATTGAGCTTCTCTGTCTTGATAATTAACTAATTTCTAATACTCTTATTCTTATAGCTGACATATCTGGTGCTACTTTAATGATGAAAACAAGACTGAATATACTAAGAGAACATATATCATCTGCATAGTGTCCAACTTTCTTGATCCATTATTTTGCTATGAAAATACCAAACTTAAAATCATCTGGTAAAGTTTTAGATAATGTGTAAAATATGAATTTTTACCAGAGGTGATTATATAATAATTATAATAAGTTTTACATATATCATAACAGGACCGAAGAAGTCTCAGAGGTATCTTAACGTCAGATGGATGATTCTGGAGAAATCAGAATTGGACACAAGCCCAATTTTTGTGTGAAATCTCTACTAATTGCTAGTGAAGTGAAAATCTGTCTTATTAAAAAGATCTGTGATGATTAGGATAAGTTGATCAAGCTTATAAAAGATGCTTATGTGCAATTACTGAGGAAACTCACTAGAGGGAGGGTTGGGGATGTAAAGGAAATAGAAGAAGATCTTAACAGGATACCAGTTTTTGGTATCCAAGTTGCTGATATATAATATCACAATTATATTTTTTTCACTCAAAACTAACTATTTCTACTTTAGGTGGAACTATGACATGTTGGGTTATGACTATGCCATTTGGAGCCTTTTACTTTGTTCAACGTCTTGGTTCAGTGCAAATTCCTATGAATTGAGGCCAATCTTCACTTGCTAGATTTATAGATGAATTATGAAAGTTAAGGGTAAGATTATCATCTTTTTATAGAATGCGAGAAGTTGAATAAACAAACTCCTGATTAATTAATAGAATTATTTGTAGGCGTCTCTATGAAATCATATTCACACTCTTACTAAAATTGTAGAAAAAGTCAATGTATCCTTATATAACATAGCTTTTTGTTCACCACAAGCTTGAGAAGATGTGCCTCTTTATGATGGTAAGTTAGTAACGCCACAATCACTATAATAAGATCTCACTGATCTGGGTATTAAAAAAGATAGTGGACCTCTCTACCATTAAGTTTTCACCCAATAATAGATAAGTATGGAGATATTGTATAAATTAACATGTATTTTTATTATATCAGTCATGGCTTTGCTAATAAAGAATTCAAGTTGAGAATATTATATATTATGTTGATATTTTCATGTGGTGTGTCTTATATTAGAATAAAAAAGTTTATACGTTAATTTTTCTATGCCTTGGTATGAGCTTTGCTCTTAATGTGATGCATGGAACATGATTGAGTATCGAGTTGTACATTCCCCAAATAAATTATGTAATGACCTAGATATAGAATGACGTATTATCAATAAATCAGCTACCTTTCTATCACTTGGCTATGTATGTTCCATGAACTTCTATATTAATCCTGATGTGATCTGATTGATTAATAATTTTCTAGTTTTTTAATTATTCTGATTGGATGGATCACATCAGAAATTAGCAGGAGGTTATTGGGTAACCATCGTATACATACCCTTACTAATTATATTCTCATGTTCTTTTTGTGAAATTCATCTTGAATAGGACATCAGCTCTAGAAATTTATTTCTAATGGCTCATTGAGTAGTATTGTTTTTTTTTTTTCAATTTGTCATAGGAAATTAAGCAAGTAATGGACGTGGTATTATCAAAATCCACAAAATAGAATTTATGAAGGAAGAAGTAATGATGCATAAAGAAGGCAAGGCTTGAGGGATCCACTAACCAGTCAATTGATAAAGAACTCACCATATCTAACCCCAATAATGACAAAGATACCGCACCTAATTCTAACAATGATCAAGATGATGAAAGACTGGATTTATTCTATGACCCAAAAAAAGTAAGTTGAGATTATATGGATTATATTTAGCGATTAGAATATTTTTATGATTTGACATATATGAAATGAAGATTAGGGGCAGTTATCATCTTTTGAGGCAGGCCTAGGATCTGACTGTTTCCTTCCTAAGTGTGAAAAAGCTTCACTTCATATTTTTTACATTTTTTTCAGATCCTATGGAGCGTTCTTTGAGCATATATTTTTTCCAACCTTTTGATATCTTCTTGGATATGATTGATGGTCATATGTGAAGCGTAGAAGTTTTGATAAACTTTCATGATTCTCAGAGTATGTCTGTGTATTGAGAATCGCTGAGCTATACTACAAGTATCCACCAAGAAAAATCTATTTTTTTATTATATTTATGCCAAAAGATAATCATTATTTCTTCAAAACTTGACTAGTCAAGCTAATTATTTATATAACATTTTATTTATATAACATTTCATTTTTTAGCACAAAATTCAACTCAAAATGTGTTTATTTATTAAGAGTCAATCCTGATAATATATCGAATCTCAATGATTCTCAGAAGATTTTCTTACCAGAGATCTTAAGTCAATTAATTCTTCAAAAACTACTACTATTATGAATATGAAGTTTATCTTTCTTGAGAAGCTTATGATAAAAAGACAGCAAAGATGAATTGTTAAGATATTATTAAATCATGAACTACTTTCTCCCAGTACTGTAAAAGCTGATATCTTCACACTCAACTTAGATACTCTTTTGAACCATGATTTGGAAATTATAGCAGATGTTACTTATAATGAATTGTATAAAAACTACATAAATAGAAATTCAGGTTCTAGCAAATCCTTATCACCACAAACTGTCCAAGTAATTCCAACTGCTTCCGAAGTACTAACAAAATTCCTGCATTTATTACAATCCAAGATTTTTGGTAAAACTAAAGGTGAATCTAATATTATTAAATTTGGAGTCAGAAATTCAGTATATTACAATAATCATCCAAATCCAGTAAATCTGCAGTTGTAGAAAGAATTTGCATCATGGGCTTGCTTCTCAACTTCTGATAATAGGTTTTATAAAAAATTTCATGATCATTACCATTGTCTTTAGTATAAAGTATCACATGTATATCAATAGCATGAAGCTTATAAAAATAGTATGAAGTTAGATGTTATCCCAGAGACCTTGCTATGACATCCGAAAGATAAGCTTTTTATTGCTAAAGAAATGATAGAAAAGGTAATAGGTAGTGTTTATCTTGATAGGTATAAATATGTTCAAGAACCACAATGCTTTGAAAATGCTTTTGGAGAGATAATAATCGATTTTTTTGATCTGGCAGACCTCTTAGTTGCAAAATCTGTATGAATAGCAGTTGATCGATATTATAACCATAATCTTAACCATTCATCACATCAATTCAAATAATTTTCAAAGGACCTAATAGAATATTTTAGCGGTTTTACTGATAGTAATAACAAGCCATATACTACTATAAATACCACTTCTACCCATTGCAGGGAACATCAAATGTGTGTCTGAGAATTAATAAAAGGACTTCAATTCATCTCCAATGCAATTAATGACTATTTTAATAAAACATATCCAATTCTATATGCCAAAATGAGGAAACTTGATCTTGAGCCTAATGTTCCTAGATCCTTCAGTACCTTTTTCAGTTTATCTATCAACTTCAATACTATCTGCCAATTCCATCGAGATTTGAAAGATCACCGAAATATACTTTGTGTTATTTATCCTCTAGAGATATTTGAAGATGGAGAATTAATCTTTCTCAAGTTAAAGTTAGCTATTAATGCTAAGCAAGGACAGGCAATTGCTTTTAGATTGCATCTTTTAGTCCACAGGAATCTTCCAATAATAACCGGGATTCACTATAATGTTGTCTTTTACATTCATGATATTGTAATCAAACAAAAATGGTTATTTAGTTCTCTTTTTGATGATGGGGATTTAGACAACACTTACTCAATCGAGGATGGCATTAAAAAATATGACAAGAAATTACAGAAATACTCCTCTTTTAAATTAGCTCCTCAAAATTCCTCAAAATTAAAAAATCATTGATGGAGTTATCTTGGTAAGAGTATATATTATTGGCGTGAAGTGTCTATTATGATAAAATATATTATATTGACACCTGTACTTGCTTTGCTAATATATGCTTATTATTAAAGATCTAGAACCAGTGAGGCAAGGACTACTAGCGTAGTATAAGAAATAACGTTTTTACAGTGCAGAGTTAGTAATAAATACGTATTTAATGGATTTTTAATTACATTCATTTTTCATATCACTATATCTTGTATATAACATCATGTAATTTTGAAGTTATGATGTGATTATAATTATTTTCAGATTGAATTTGCTTATTCACTTAATTTATATATTTATGCGTATTAATTATATTACCATATTATAACAATCATGATGAGTAATACTAATAATAATACTAATCCAAGTGAAAAATTTCCTCAATTATACGAGGTGCTTTTATATAAGAAAAAAGATATAATAGCTATTCAGAAAAAACTTGGTATTAACAATAATATAAATCAAATAGCAGTATCGGAGAGCAAGATAGCAAAAAAACTTACTAATTCATATGAATTGCTGTTAGAATTGGTGAGGGATTTAATACTTATACAGGGTCAACTTAATATAGATATCAATTCCATTTTAGAAGCAGAACTTAGAAGGAATAAAGCCTCTTCAGATAAACCAATTAGATTATTTGATTTGCTTTTATCTTTAGAAGATGATATAGTGGTAATTCAGGATAAACTCAGTATTATTGGTTATTCTAATCAAGCAAGAGCAAAAGAAGTTGATGAGAATATAAGAATATAATTACAAAAACTTGAGGAATTTCATGGTCCATTAGAAGATGATCCAGATGTGATTTTACCAAAATATGATGAAATGAAGGTAAAGAAAATTTGGTTTACTGGAAAGAGACTTCTTCTATTTCCAAATCTTACTCCTTAACAATTACATGAAATTTTCGTAAAAAATTATACTAGCACCAATCAGTGCCCATGTTTAGAATCAAAAGTAAAATAAGAAAAATTATCACAGATATATATACATCACGGCAAATAAAAATTCTTTATTTGAAATTAGCTAGAGAATGTCAAATATCTGATTACTCACTCTATTCTTCGACATTAAGTAAAATTATTTGTAAACCATGGATGATTAAGATTAATCCTGCCAATCTCTCTGAACATGGAAATTAAATCTGTTCTATCTAATGATGGATCTCTAAAGATTAGAATAGGTGAATCAGACTATTTTTCATCTGAATAATCAGGATATTTGATTTTAATTTTTGGATTGAGTTTTTTTATCACTTCTTTACTAATCCTTTTACATCCCTTCAAACTAAGATATTTTAAATTAGTACAATTGTGGGCTATTTTCTTGATAGCTTTATTACTAATTGAACAATCGCCAAACTCAAGATGTTTAAGTTTTGGACAAGAATACGATATTTTAGTGATACATCAATTAGTGAGATATATACATGAATTAAGACTCAGGTGTAATAGCTTTGGGCAATATCTTGTAATTTCTATAATTGGTATGTTAGAAAAACTCTTACTTCAATCAAGAATAAGAGTGCATATATCTGGACATGAGCGTAGAATCACACTAATAAATATATCTTTGATTTTTAAACCCTCTAATCTGAGATATACCATCTTTGAATAATAGAGTGGCTTTATTTTTCTATGCATAACTCTTTCAAAGTTTATCAATCGCTGAGTAAGAATCCAAGATATATTTAAGGCAGACAGACTCTGCTAATAATCTTTATTGAAAAACTTAATGTGATGTCATAGAATAGGAGTACCACAGTGATACCAAAACTGATTAACAAATAAAGTAGAATAGAGGGATCAATCAATTTCTAAATAATATAAAATCTGTTCTAGTAATTCTGGTAAATCAAAAATATTTCTCACAAAGTGAGGACACTTACATGCCAGACCCTTTGGAGAATCGGAGATTTGATATTTTACATTATCATTGTTCTGTAATAGTTACGCCATTTTCAAGTAATATATTATTATATATCTTTAATCAAAAAAATATTTCATGCCTTATGATTATATAAAATCAGATGTGTTAATGTATACCAGAAAGACTATATGTAACTCTATTATAAACCCTGATAATTAACTTTACATTTTATTTTATACTTTAGAATAGGATGTTTCCTTACATCTTTAGTTTTATGTATAGCTTCTATTTCCGAACTAGATGTGGAAGAACTATCTGAATTGCTGTCTGAAGTAATTGAATCAGAAGTATCTGAATCAGAAGATATAGATATATTTAATCTGTAGGACAGTGAATCTTTTGATCTCCCAGAAAGTATTTTGTAAAAATCATGAATATCTCTTTTATTAACAGATATATTAACCCTTGGCTTCTTTTTAGCTTTGGTTGTATCAACTTTCCAACTGAGGTCCTTAATGCATAAGGTGGTTCTTACAAAAGCATTTTTTGCATCTGTTACTATTTTCAGTAAATATGTCTGGATTCTATAGTTATTGCATCTATAGAACTAATTGTTATCAAGCAGGATATAATTAGACATCTTGAGGTCATATTTTTCTACAAGCACTTTAGTCAGAATTGTGATGGATTCATAATTACTAAGGTGGTTATTGTTTATTACATTAGAAGTAAAGATAATTGGAATTATGGCTAATCCAAGTGGAGCTGTGGTTTCTTCTCTGATGAATTTACTATCTTTTTCTTCAGAAGTCAACTTTTTGCTAATTTTGCTATCAATTTTATTGAGAAGTTTATCAGTATACATAGAGATTCCCAAAAATTCTGGTTCGAGATGACAATTAACTTTCTGCTCCCCTACTTTAGCTTTAACTATCTTTACTTTAATAATAAGTTATATTATATGATATATATATTCAACTGAAAAAAATAACTAATAATTATTAATTGCAGAAATAAAATCAGTTTCATCTGGATCTGAATCATCTAATGATGATGAATATTTTACTATAGATATGGTAAAAGTGAAGAAGCGCAATTAATCTTGATCATAGATATGAAATCATCTTGCTTGCTCATAAGGAACTCCTCTTTTTCTATAATTGACTATAACGTAATTTTGCACAGGAGAAATATGATTATCAGATGAATAACATAGATATTCTCTAGCAATTGTATAAGTGTGGGTCATATTCTTAGCCTCATGTACTATCACACTATAAATAACACCCATTTTTTATAAGTATTTGGGAATTAAATCATAATCTTTTAAGAATTTATTGAATCATTTAACTCCTGACTTATCTGGATCACCCATTCATCCAGATAATATAGCACGCTGAATCCAAGTGAGTAGTTCTTTGGCTCATTCTTGATTCTTTTTCATAGATCTAAATTTTCTAGGAATATCTGGTTAATTCTGATTTTTTGCATATCCTGTTATTCCGGCATCTGTAATGCGTAAAGTTTTAAGTTTAGCAGGTCGAATATAAAGCATTATCATAACATCTACGAGGGCTTATAAATCAGATGGAGTTTTTAAATTATATACGTCTAATCTTTCTTTGACCGATTCTAATGTAAATTCATCTGGATAATTGATATATTTAGTTTCAGCCTTTTTCCAATTGACACTTTAGATTTTGTTAACATCTTCTGTAATATCTGGAAATTTCGTAGTCTTGATTATCTCAAGTAATGCATTAAGGTTCCTTAATTCTCTACAAAGATGAGTGAGATGTGATGAGCCAACATTAGCATTTTTTGCTGATAGGGCTAAGGTATAAGCTTCAGCTTTTACATCTCTAATACTAAGTTTATCCCATAAAATCTGTTGCACCATATCTCTGATAGTTTCTTTCTCAATTCCTTTCAAGAATTTATTGGAAATCATAATATTTATATTTTTATCTGAGATAGTTACACTGTGGCTACTTCCGTTTTTCTGGATTGAGAGGTGACGTAAGTCACTTTGCAAAGCAAATAAGATATTTACTTGATCTTTACTAAAGCTATATCTATTCTGTAAGATTCATTTAGTTATCTCTCTGATAATCTTCTCTTCCAAATCTTTTGGAGGTGAAGCTATAACTATTTTGCAACTGCTCTCAATAATATTTATAATCTTGATCTTACTACCTCTTTGATTAGATATTAATATACTTACCTGATCACTGCTAAATTTAAAACCCTCTTGAAAACATCATCGATCTTAATTCTATTTTCTATCATTGGTAAGATTTTCAAGAAATTCTGAGGTATATTTACTGAGCTCAGATACACTCATCTCATTGTTAAGATTGTATTTTTTAATGATTTTGGTTATAATAGCTGACATGATCTAATATTAAGTAGGTTATGAATAATTCTTTAGGTTATTTACACTATAAAAAATATTTTTTCAAATTGAAATTAATTATCTGCTGATAGCTATACCCAAAAATTGAATGGGTCATGGTTATTGTAATTCTATTGGAAAATGGACGTGAACAAGACACAAATTCGATTAAAAGTTTTAATCTATATATACCAGATATATGATACACGTCAATACTTTGAGTCAAATCTGTCAATTTGAAAGTTACCAATATATAGGATATAATGAAAAAAAAAATTATAGCTTCGAATTGTGGTGACTCAGGCTATATTAACATTATTTGGTACTATATTTATTTTTTATGTATTAAAAACACTAGCTTTGCTATAATGCTTGGAATAGATTCTGATATTTTTCTATACTTATGGACCATTTCTTGTAAATATTAAGTCTATTTTTCATTATATCAACCAGTGGTATCATAGCTGGATAGGACAGAGCATTCATGAATCTAATTTACTCAGGATAGTAATAATCCATAATATCCAATAATTATAGAAATTCGGCTAGATCTTTTACGTACTTGAAACTATTACACATTAATTTGCAGAATGTTGGTTTATTATGATCAATCTCTCTTTTGATTAATAAGTTGACTATTTTCTGGGGTGTTTCCATTGGGAGTTACTAGTTATGAAAATGATAATAGTTAATTATTACTTATGAAAATGATAAGTTTAATTAGTTATTTTTCCTTTTTTTCCTCTATGTCTCTCAGAAAAAAGATATATATGTTAATAGCATTTATCTGACTTCAAGATTATAGACCAAGAAGGTGGGATATATATCTAGTAAATTGCTTCATATATATAGATATTAAGCATGCAGAGTTTCTCTTATACGCTTCTATTTATAATATTTATACGCTTTTTCCTTATCTTGACCACATGGGACATAAAGTTAAAGACTCGATTTAGTTTCTCATCCATATCCTTTACATAGTTGGGAGATTATTAAACTCTTTCAAATCTTAAATGCATGGGTAACACAATATTGTCCTTTTGCTGGGATCTTGCATAAATGGGTTTCCCTGACTAATAACCAATTACAAGATATTTTATTATTCTATATTCACTTTCATATTTAAATTTACTTTTTTCAAATATATGAGAAAAAAAGCGTCACAAAATCCAGTATAATGATAATATTTTTATTGGAAATTTTTATATTAACTAGTTTATAGAAACAAAAAACCTATCTTATTCGCTCCTTAATATATAGTAATCTTACTATAGATACCTATTTTTCTGGAGTATCGCTATATTTTTTGCCTATTTTTCATCATCATAAATACATGTGTATGATCAGGATTTGCCTTTATCTTCATACCTCTGAAGATCAATCTCCATATACATTAATTTTTCTCATCTGAACAATTCCATATACTTCTCTGGATCATCCTCATCTTTTTGTGCAAAATCAATTATCTCTACGTCCACCATCATTTTATCATAATAAATTATTATTAAATCTCTATCTTTTTTAGTTATGGTCATGAACTTATCAGAATTCTCGCTATATTTAATCGCAGTTTCTCTTAAATACACCTCCCTTTCTTCTCAGATTAAATAGCCAGATGAATATGTTTTCAATTGGGTGTTGACTTTTTCATTACTAGATTTTAGTTCGTTATTTGCAGGTAAGTTAGGAGATATCTTGGACTCATTATTTACAGATCCAGCTTCATCACTCACTAATTCCATAAATTTGGATTTATTATCTACAACTTCTACGTTCATAATCTCGGGAGATAAAGATATATCAGTAGACTTGGATAATAAAGCAACTGAAGATTCCAGTTGATCTATTATAGAATTGAAGAGAGTCTGGATCATATTAGTAATGGATGGGATGGGTGATGAATCCTTACCTTTTCTGATGTGATTTGTAGGTAATGGAATAGATTCTATTTTTTCTGGTTCAGAGATTATGATTTCTGGGACATCAAATACAGGAATATCTGTGGATTCATTGGTGAGTATCTCAGGTTGAGATACATCAGAAAATTCCTCAATATCACCTATTGACTCACGTAATTTAGCTATGATCTTGGATTGGTCAAGGATATAAACTTATTCTCTTTTTCCATTGATTCGTATCTGCTTTTTCTCAATTCCTATCAGTAGGAGAAAATCTCTAAATTTATTGTTATTAATTTGATCCTCACCTTCATTTTCACACCAAGTAAGATAATCTTAATATAAATTTCTAGAGATCAGTTTTTCGATTTGATTTTTGGACCATGATTTAATATGTTGTATTATAAAGCAAGTGGAATTTGGAAGTTGTTTCATTATTGTATCTGTTTTCATTTTAGTGATAGGAAAATTCTGCGGACTTCACTTTGACAGATCACAGCTAAGAAGATATGACATGACTACTCCTAGTGCATCAGGATGATCAAGAATTTCTCCTAGTCTATCGAAATATACAATATTACCCTTACAACATGCAGACATGTCAAAACAAACTATATGAGCATCACCTACCTCTATTTTTAGCAGAGCATCCTGATTACTTGTGACCATAAATCCACTAAAATTATTTATTCTTAAAGTTTTGAGATCTTTGCGCTCTATACTTACCTTTCTCTCTGTTATAAGTGATTTAAGATGACCATTAAATTTATGCCACTCCCCATTAGACATACTGATTTCATTCATGACTATAAGCTTTTTACCTTGAATAATACTGTTAAATTTCCCAAGAATTTTTCCCAAATCAGATGTTACATAATGGAGATTTGGCCCTAATACCTTATCACCAATAAAATCAGTAATAATATTTTTTTCACACTATTGTAAAGTGGATTTTAATACAAGAATTGATCTTGGTTTCTTTCCTGATTTTTGTATTAAATATGCCCATCAGTTCCAGATATAATTATTGAGTTCCTCATTTCCATTACAGATTATATTTTTTATATACCAAAGGATAGAATTCATAATTTCTGGATTAATATCTTTTACTGATTTAGCTAGAAATCCCAGGAAAAGATTAAAGAAATTTGTTTTTGATGGGATTACATTTGGAGAATATGAGAGAAAATCGATTTCATCATAATGTATTAAATTTTCTGTAACTGCTCTATCTATCAGAGAATGTAATTTTACTGCTTCTTCTTCATGCTCAATTATATTAATTGTATGCTTTGCAAGATCTAATTCACATCCCATATCAAAATAAAGACTATCGGAATTTTTAAGTTTAACTATCCAGGTTATTTTTCTCTGCTCAACACATGCTATTGTTACCTGAATTGTATTATATGCCTCATTACGTGTAAATTTTTTCTTAGACATACACATATGAAGTAAGTCTCCCCATATGAAATTGTCATTTGGATCTGAAATTCTGGACTGATCTAATTTCTCTGGGATTGGAAGGTTGTTTTTCTGATCCAAAATTATTTCATCAATAACAAGCTTTAA